AAACAACACCACAGACAGACACCCTCCAACTAAATTAGATTAAACTCCTTCTCTTCCACAGCGCATTAGCCTTTTCACTGCCCAAGATTCATTATTCAGCTACTCCTAATTTAAAGATACAGTATTTTTCTCCTCTTAGGAACAAAAACAACAAACTAAACTCAAGGCAAAGCAGGAAAAAAAAAAAAGAAAAAAATTAAAAACCAAAAAGATTCCTGGTCAGAAATAAACCTGATAATTCTAAAATTACATGAAGGTGGGAGAATATCCTTTTTGCTCTTACTCTAATATTGCAAGGATGTTATAATTTTAAAGCACAGGTCACAGCAGAAAGTTCTACATACACTAAAATCAAGGACAGGCCCAGTGAAAAAAAGAAAAAAGAAAATGCATGCAGATTTTCTTTTCTTATGTACACCATTCAATAAACTTCGTTCACCAGTCTTTTTGCATGCCCTCTTTGCACATCTTGCAGCCAAATCTAGGCTTGTAAAGGCATAAACATCACGAAAACTAGCGCATGATAGTGAGGATTAATTGGTTTTCTTGTTGTCATTTCCTCTCTTACTTCCAACCATCACTTGTCCTCTCTTACTTTCCAAGGTGAAAGCAGTCTTGTCTCATCTCTCTCATTCAGGTGTGAGTCTGCACCTCTTCACAGACACAAATGAAAGCAGGTAACAATGGACAGGAGCAGTGAGACCCCAAGCAAAGTGTCTCCTGGGGCTCTGGGTGGCTCTTGCTGCGCTCACAGGGTCAGCTATTGCAGGCACATGAGCCAATTCCCAGGAAATCCCACTCCTGGGCACCAGTTTATAAAACCTGTAGCACTTGTGTACCACCTGGATGGTGCAAAAGGAGAAAAGTGACACTATCTGGCCCTTAATTTTCTCTGATTTGAGAAGAAATGGACTCTGGTGCAGGAGGATCTCTACTCCTGATGTTTATGAGTGCCCAGGTGGGCAAGAAGGGCGATGGCTCCTGGCTTGGATCAGGAATAGCATGGGCAGCAGGACCAGTGACTGGGCATTTGTACTGGGCACTGGTGAGGCCCCACCCCAAATCCTGGGGTCAGATTGGATATTAGGAAAGATTTTTTTCATGGAAAGGGCTGTCAAGCACTGGAAGAGGCTGCCCAGGGCAGTGGTAGAGCCACTATCCCTGGAGATATTTAAAGGACATATAGATGTGGTGCTTAGGGATGTGCTTTAGTGGTGGGCTTGGCAGTGCTGGAGGAATAATTGGACTTGATCTTAAAGGTCTTTTCCAACCTAAATGATTTTATGATTCTGTGTTATTTTGTAAAGCAGCATAAAGTATCTTTCCAATAAAATTCTGATACAAATATTTGAAGCTTCCAAATTGCAGAGAACTATGAATATTGGTTTTGTTCTTCTGAAAGATGCTGAAAGATACTCTTCCAGTTGCAGAGCCTAAAGTTGCCACAAAGTGTTGTTCTGTGTCCACCACCCATGTCCTATTGAAGGCAATAAATAAGATTACATATTCTTTTGGTACTTCCATAACTGGCCAGATTAAAAAAAGTTATGAAGATGAGGCAGTTATTGAGAAACAAACAAAAGAACCTGTAAATCAGCACATTCCCAGATTTCTACACTTCTCAGACTAGGCATAATAACTTAAAAAAAGAAGAAGATTTGACCTACAAAACTTGAAAAATCTCCCTCACTGAAAATCAGTGACAGTTGCAGTTTTTAATTCTCTCACATGCTTTTTGCAATATCCCTATTCCATAAAAAGATGGCATTGTCTTTCATCAGCTGTTCAGCAGCGGAGAGTTGGGATGCAATAGATCAGTCAGTTCTCTCTATCCTACATCTTCCAAAATCATTCATTATTTTGGTATTATTTCTATTGTGTTTTTCACTTCAGAAAACTATACTATGCTTTTACAGTGCCCCACTTCATAAAGTCTGTATTTTTGTCCCATGCAAGGAGAAAAGAACAATTTTAGAGTTTTATCAGGAACTCTAAGCTGTTATGCAGGGAAAAATAACCTGCATTATAATCTATTAGAATCATGGAATTTTTAAGGTTGGAAAAGACCTCTAAGTTCATCAAGTTCTATCAGTGTGTTTAAGATGATTTGCTAGTTTGGGATGTAAGCTAAAATTCCATGAGTGAACACTCATATCTTCCTCACTCACTCTAACTTTTACTGTTGCCTTAAGGTAATTTTTATTTGTATGACTTAATAATATCGATTTTAACCTTTAACCATCCTTGACCCAGTTCAGATCTGCCTAAAATCTAGTAACTCAAACATTCCCATACCTACATGCTATTCCCCCCAGGTATATGTTACTCCCCCAATATTTATAATGATTTTCTGAGGAAGTACCAATTCCACCATGTTTTACCCATTCTTACACTGAAGGGCTCTGGCAGAGACAGGATATCGTGCTAGATGGACTTTTGGCATGACCTGCTCATCCATTTTACATTCCTAGGTGCCAGAATTGCATGATATGGTCTTAATCACTGCTGGAAGTTGCTTTTGGACGTCCTCCATCTGGCATTTGAATTTTAAGAGACAGACCTGGTCAGGCTGTGCTTTGGGCCAGGGTGTCTGTTGGCTGTTTTAAGCCTAAACCACAATTCATCCTAATGTTACAAAATCCAACCTCTTCTTTTCTCCTCGTCACACATAACCTGACAAGGCTGTATTTCCCATGCCAAAGCAGGAATTTGATAGAAATGTTATAGCACTGAGAATAAACCTGGCTCAAACCCACACACTGCCGGCGTGGTACAGGGTAAGACTCATCAATCTTCCCTGTACTCTGGAGTTACCCCAGTATGAAATATGGTGAGGAAGCGTTACATTTAGATCACTCTCAGATGTCCAGATTTTTTTTCCCTATTGAATTATTATTATTATTATTAAATGATTGAAATACAGTGGGAGGAATACTATGCTGGGAAATGTCCCCATGTACTCCAACCCACTGTCTAACTGTGTTTTCCCCGTCTTTAAATGAAGACTATTCTGCTTCCTGTTGGTGAATGAGAAGTGCTCAGACACTGCAGTGTTGGAACATTTCATTACTCCATGAGAGAGTGATCAGAAAATTCAGACGTTTGGGAAGATAGAGACAGACCTTTCTAGATCGATTGCAAGTTCAGTACATACAATATTTGAGTTTGGCAAGCTCAAATCTGTGTGTTCAAGAGCCCAGAAACAGTGTTATGTGTTGCACACATTAGGCAACCATGTATACAGAATCAATTCAAAGCAGCTGTTGAAGATCAGGAATTTTAGGGTGAATTCCTCCATCTAGACTTTTTTTTTTTTTTTTTTGGAAGGGGGAATGCAAAGGGGGAGGGAATGAAAAATTGATACTGCTCTGTGCTCCAGATGAAAGAACAAACATAATTTTATTTTCTTTAATGACTGTACTGAATTCTGAAATTAAACCCAGCGGGTAAAAAGATCCTGTGCAGATTTCAAAAGAGATCATGTAGTCTGTCCATGTGCTAAGGCAGGCACATTTTTTAAGCCCTGCCATGTTCTGTAAAACTGAAAAAGGGTTATCCCTGTAAGCATTCTGCTTTTCAAAGCCATCTCTCTCCCTCCACCTACCCCAAGCCAGTGGATATTCCAAATAAATGTCATCCTAACTTGAAATGTCATTTTGTGGTTCCTCCCTCTAACTTTAGAAGGAGAATTGCTGTATACTCTGCATTAAATATTATTAGAGCTCAACATACAGACAGCACTCCTTTTTTTTTTTTTTTTTAACCTCTCAGCAGAACCAGACAGAAAAAGAAGCCAAGAAAACAACAACAACAAAAAACCCCAGCCGTATAAATAACTGAATATAATCCCCAGCACAGGTTTGAAAGCAACTGAACTGAGAATAGCTAACCTTCGCTCTGAACTCACTCCAGCTGCAGGTTAATGCAGTTAATTGCAGAGCACCTGGTCTAAGCCTCAGGTATATGAATCATCCCCACAGCACACCTTTCAATCTTTTATTCCTATGTAATGCCCCGGGGCAGCTGCCGGTGCCTGTTGGAGCTTTGTTCCTGGTGGGTGTGCCAATACGCTGTCAGAATTCCCTTATTATATGCAAAAGAAAGGTTGTGCTTTAAAGCATCTGTGTGCATCTCCGAGGCTGTGGTTTGAGGATACTCTGTCTCCAGTAGCAGCACTGACTTAACTCATCCCTGCCTTCCCTCCACAGGAGCCTCTGCTCTGCTGCTGCTCCCGGGCTGGGAGCAGCTCCACCAGTTCTGCTCCCACAGCTGTGCCCGGGGTCCTGCTGGGAACTGGATCAGGAAACGGAGCATCAGCCTCTTAAAAATCAGCCCTAACACTATTTGCAGGTTCTTAACACCAAAACAAGGGGCATAACAAGGAGCTGGTGTTGCTTCTGGAATCATCACATGCTCAAATGGGTGGCCTGTAAGTGTGAATCCATAAACCAATGTTATGTATATACACATATACATGTGTGCTCTCACTTGTATGTGTTTGTAAGATGGCAATATTTTTCGGAGTCTGTAGATACACATCACTGCAGACACTCATACAATCCATCCTTTTAAAACCAAGGCCAGTCCTCCTCAGTTCTGTTAAGTCCTTTTTTTAACTCCATAAGCAAGTTGCTCGGCCTTTACCCGTGGAAAGCCTGTTCCTGGACACAGATTTATTTAGAACATCAATAGTAAAGAGGCTAACTGAATTAACTGTTTACCTAAACACTATAATGTAGGTGCACATAACATATGTACAAGCATGTGTGTTTTATAAATGAATACCTATGTGCACATGGATCAGGCACTGAAATGCCTACGGGGTCTTTTGGTGAGGGTGAACTACTTGTAGATACTTGTGAGTTCTTGCTGGTTCTGGGATTGATTATGTCGTGCTTATTAAAGTGGTTTGCAGCTTTAAACTGGTAAATATAATTTAAAAAGGGCAGGACAGTGTTTTGAAAATAGTTGGTCACTGCCTTATCTTGCACAGACATAACTCTTAAAGTACAGTCTCCTTTATCTTACCATGTATTAACTGAAGTACATTTCTTTACATAGGTTTAATGAAATCGTGTCACATGGCATCCTTCAGCTATAGGTGATACACAGATAAAGGACCTGAAACTAATGGATAGAAAGAAGGTTAGTGGAGAAAAGTCTTGGAGAGAAGGCAAATGTACATTTGAACATGTACTTTATACACAAAATTAATGATAGCTCATATGAGAACTGTACTAGGAGAAGGACAGTCTGGAAATTATAAAACTGCCCTCTCTTCAGCAACACTGATTTCTTGTTTCTTTGATGTGTGTTAGCACAGAAGATTAGGTTACTCCTTAAATTACACACAAATAACAATCAGGCACTGTCACAACAATCTTGATGTTGTCATCTTTTCCATCATACCATTCCACTGCACTGGTTGGCAAACTACCACTCAAATATCAAAGTACACCCTCCTAATGATTAGGATTTCAAGCTACTTATTTTCAGTCTGCCTGACAGCCACTTTTTTGCCTCTTGCTTCGTTAAGTGTCCTCATATGTAACGAGTGTGTTACGAGTGCAAAATACTAAATTTCTGATTTCATAACATTTGGTGTTTTCTTTTTCCAAGGACAATAAAGCAGCAGACCCAAGGGAAGTGTTTAGCTAAGGACTGCAAGGCTCCAGGAGTAGGAACCTTCTGAGAAACTGGGATGCCTTTCAGACAAAAAAAAAAAAGGCCCAATCTACTGTCATGGAAATGAACATCAAACCTCCTGCTGACTTACAGGGAGTCAGGTTTCTGTAGCTGGGGAGGTCATGTTCAAATGCAACTTTGGAGCCTACAGTGAGACCACACCTTGAGGGCGAGTGACAGACCCAAAAAAGCAGAGCATTCAGCTACCTTTGCAGGCTGCAGATGAGTTGTGCTATACAGAAAGTAGATTTTCTCTCTATGATACTTGGTTTAGGATGGATGCTTATCTTTGATGAACTGTAGGAAGAGTGGTGTCTTTAAGCTAGGGATAATATTTAAAGAATCTAAAGAGATTCCTCAGTTGCACTCTATTCACCATCAGTCACAGGGCATAAATCTGATCAATATTTAGACAATCTGAGGTCATTACAGTGTATCTTCTGCTTTTTAAGTAGTGCCAAAGTGAAGCACAGTGGAGAATTTCACCACAAGAAATGGAGTTTCTCTTACATTCTGTCTCTAAACTAGAATATATTAAAAAATCAGCAGTGATTCAAAGTCCATGACATAAGTGGGTAGTTGCTCCAGCAACTCTTAATCTTGTTTGGTTACACACTCTAGAGTTGAGTTTGCTTTTAATGTTTTCACTGTCCTTGGCTTTAGCTTTATTAAAAATTCAGCTTGAAATTCAATTAGAAGATAGTTTATGTTATTGGAGTAAATACAGTTTTATCATCAGATTGGTAACTCGCTTTCAATTTTGCTTTGCCATGTGGAAAGAGTGAAATAATACTTACCACAGTCTCCCCATTTCTACTCATCCCAGGTATTCCTGCAGAATCTTTCTTCCCATTTTGGAACAAGTGTTTATAAAAATGCTCTGTCAGAGGTAAAGCAGAGGATAGACACATCCCTTCCTCACTCTTACCATGAATACTTGCTGATACAGTCCAGAAACTTTATAGCATTTATTCCCCAAAAAAGCCTGCTATTATGTAGTGGGGTTATCTGTGACAGGAGAAAGAGGAGAGGAGTGTTTGCTCTTGTTTCTATAGTTCAGTTTGATTTTATTACTATTATATTGCAGTGTTTGGGGTGGTTTTCTCTTTTTTTTTTAAGAGGGAAAGAAAAAAGTGTGGACTTAATTTTGTTTAGCTTCTAATCTCTTGCCAAATGAGTTAGCTAGAAGTGTTTTATACTGACAAAATATAGTCTGAGCTAGTTCTGACTCATCTGTTGCTGTCCAGTCTCCCTTGAGTTTACTGCAGCCAAGGAAAGTTTTGGTCCATGGAGCATCTATTAATCTTCCTTAATTGTGGAGATACTTCCTTGAGCCTGGGATCTCATTGCCATATGAGATGGGAGCACAGGAGAAACCCAAGTTTATGGGCTAAGGCAAGCAATCAATCAGTGCAAACAACAGTGCCATACAGACAAGATTTAATAAGAAGAATGAATGGAGCCAGCTGAGCCCCCAGGGACAGATGAACCTACTTCTCGTTTTCTGTTTATTAAAAGCATTCATATCAATTTGTCATGTGGAAGCATTTAGTTCATTCAAGCACCAGTGTAATTTAAAAATCCTATTAATAATACTTTAGAATAGGCTGTCAGATTCTTTACACACAGGTGATAAGGGAGCCAGAGTGGTAATTTAAGATGCCAGTGCAAGATGTGCTAAACAATGGCTCAAACTCACTTTTTCTGTAGCTTCTCTGAAGCCATTTTAGTTGCAGAAGGCATGAATTTAGGAAAACTCATCCATTCAGTGCTCTCCAAGCCAGATACAAACTTCTCTGAAGTTACTAATACTTTTAATCAATTTTCTGAGATGTTTCTTTCTATTTTCTAATTTGCTGTGAACTGATTTAAAAAACTTTTAAGAGTTCCTGGAAAACTCAAAAAGTTTTGTTTTATTTTGTTTTGTTTTTTTTCCTCAGGAGTGAGAAGCATTTTGCAAGATCTCCCTGGCTAAATGCACTTGCTGTATTTTGCATCCTCGCTGCAGGTCTCCTTGTTCATGCAACCCAAAACACAGACCTGCCTTCAAGACATTTAATGGGGAAATTTATCCCAAAAAAGGTAAATTGCTAGGGAGGTAGCCCCTGTCAGCCTGTTTTTCTGCATCAGTCCTTGTGCAAATGTCTATATTTTTATGAATTTGGAGGATCACCTTTGGCTCAGTGTTCTGCAGTGAATTGTGCTTCTGGGCTTTATCCAAACTGTGCTGAAATGATGGTCTCTTCATTTCCTTGCCCTGCCTGTAATCCAGCCCCCATATCTGTGTCCCTTTCAGAATATGACAAATGTCTGTTTGTGAACTCTGGGAGTGGAGCTGCCAAAGAGCAAGCTGAGAGGCAAAAGAGAAGTTTTCCTGGTGTGGCCTTGGCTTTGTGTTACCCTCTCACATTCATCACCAGTAAGCCAGACACTTAGCCCTGGCATAACATCCATCTTCACATATGTAATTAGTATCACACCTACAGGCTCTGTTTCTTTTAAATAATCCTTTGATGAATGCTAGAGATATTAAGCGTGTTATTAGAAGGAGATGGTGCTTAGAAGAAGGAAGAAATGCTGTGCTTCCTGACTGCTTTGTTCTTTTGAGTTATTGCATTGTAGAGAAAGAAAACAAACCCTTTTCTCTCTTCCAAGACAGAATATACAAAATGCTGCTACAGATTTGATGGAACTGTTTCAGGTTCAAGTAGTTACTAATAATCCAAGGCAGGAAGGAGAGGAAAGACAACCTCAAACTCTCAAAATATTCAATAAACTCATGGTTCAGGACTAGCTCCATACCTGACAGCCTATAAAGCTCAGGGCTGGGAATTGAAACAACAGCTTGGTATGAGTGGCCAGACCAGACCTCCCTCCTTAAACTAAGCGACTACAGTACCTGGTAAAGTTTTATGGTCCTAACAAGATCTTTAACAAATTAAAGCCACTGCAACTCTGACTTTGTTCTTTCTTTTCAAGCTGCCCACCTTCCCATTTCCATCCTGCAATGCTCCTGCCCCACGGATGGTTTTAATTCAGGTCCCACAATGGTACAAGCTTAGTATTCGTACAATAAACCTTTCAAAGAAGAATTTAGGTTTATTGGGGTTGTTTAATTGTTGTAGAAGCTCTGCTGCAATAAATAAAGACTTCTGTCGTCTTTGTATCTTTGTTATAGTTGACTAAATCTATTTGAATATATTCATAGCTGAGGGAAGACTGGGATCCTTGTGACTGCACTTATATTTGCATTATTTATGTAGCAACAAGAACCAGATAAGGCAGGGAAATAAGATCCTTGATCATCATCTCCTTTGATCATCTCCCCCTTCCCCCACTGTGTACGCAGGGTGTACCATGGAGGTATTCTGGGTTCATCACTGGAGTTCCACAGAGCACTTCCAGGAATGCTACACCCAAATTTACCCACCCTTTGAAAGTGCACTGGGGTTGCTACGTCATGAGCCTTTCCTGTGGGATTATCCTTCAGGATTATCCTACTGGCAGTGCCAGTACCTGACCCTGGCCTGCGCATTGCTGAGCACACACACCCGCAGTGGAAGCCGTGCTGTGCTGCCTTCCTGCTCAGCAAACAGGCCATCAACAGGCAGGGCAAGCACGAGAGGGAAACACAAATGATGCAAATACTTCTTCAGCAGAGCTAATCCAAGCTACTCATGAAGAAAAGATGTGGACCTGCAGCTGTTCGGTTTGCCCTCCAAGACACCGCAGCTCTCAGCACAGAACCCAGGATGGATCTGCTTTTGCTCTCCCAGCTGGGCAGAGATGCCTGGCTGATACTTCCCATAGTGCTGTGAATGTTCAGCAATTTTATCTCCTTCTTTCCTCTAAGGACCTAAACTTTCACTGTTTAAACTCCCAACCAAAGATGCCCATCAGAACACAGGCAACGGGCCAAGGAAGTCCCTTTGAGTACAAATTCGAGACACGCACAGCAAGCATTTTTCTTCAGAGTTAAAGTTTTAACTGTGAATCACACCCCCTAAAGCGTTTTCCCATTCTCTTCAGGATAGCTCTTGGTGTTAGTATGAGGCTACCAAAGAGCAGCAAACTGGTACCAAGACTTTGCATGCTTAAAGGAAAGGGAAAGCACATTCACACACATAATACGATGTAAACCATGTCAGTGAGCAGAAAGAAAACGCTGGGGAAATCCCTTCCCATTACATGTGTGGGGATTTGGGTTTAGTTCTAGATAATTTGCATTTTGAATCCGTTGTCAGGTTTGGCATGTGCCCTTCTGTGGCTTACACAGGAGCCTAAGAATCAAACAGAAATTCTGAGGATGCTGCCCTTGAAATCAGCCCCCAGTTTGTCAGGGAGCTTTCATGGTCCAGGTGTAAAATCTCCAATAAACATTAGACACAGCTCAAACAGAGAAAACCACCCCTGGTTTGACAAGCTGCTAACCACAAAGTACAAAGAAGCAGCTTCTGACACCAAGACACATGGTATTCTTAACTGACACCCATAAAACTAAAATGAGTCAAAACACAGTCTTCACCAAGGTTTAGAGCTGCATTTACTGCACACTGAATAAAAAGCCCCACAGAAGAAGCTCCAGTCACTGAGACTAAACTTAGAAATTATATTCCTGACATATCCTCACTGCAGGTTTAAATCTTATTTAATGCACTTTGCAGGATCTTAACTGACTTTAGCAATTATTCTCTGAAAGGTAAACAAGCTTTTACTCCACAAAAAACCCCACAGAAAATAACAGTGTTCAGAACAAAGAGGAAAAAAAAAAAAAGGGAGTTTTTTAGGGTGTTGCTGCTCATCAAAGCAGCAGGACTGACAAACACATTTACTAGGATATGTAGTGAAAGCATTTACTAATACTGGGCCACTTCCACTTAGCTGAACATTTCTTCGCAATGTCTAGGAAAACAGCCTCTCCAATCCATCCTAACCATAAATGAAACTTTGCTATGAGATGTTGAATCTCTTATATAATGTCCTTTATACACTATAGCTGCTTTCCTAGTGTGTAAAGCTTTGCATTTCATGACTTGTAAATTTAGCAGACTTTCTTTTCTAAGAGAAATTAATGCAAACATTATGGGATCTTTTACCTCCAGTTGTTTCTAATTCCTTCTGCGAAACTGTGTTTCTTTGATGACTGCATTAGTGAAGGAACATGTCTGCCAAGCCAGATGTTTATATTTCCACTGAAACTTGTGTTATGATGCTGGGAAAGTGCAATAGAAAATCAAAGTTTAAAAAAAGGCAAAAATGAGAAGCCAGGAGAGCCCGGGAAGAAAAGGAGCGGAGACTCCCAACCAACACTGTTGTGTGGAGTCCAGAGAAGTGGAGTAATTAACTGCTCTTTAATTGACTTTAATTGAATAAAATCCTCTTTCCATCCGTATAACAAAGTCAACATAGACAGGACTTCAAAAATCATTGACCATGTCCCTACATCCAAAAAAAAAATGCTTTTTCTTTTCCTGTAAATTTCCAGGTTCTTTAATCTCATTGCAGCAGATGCATTTTCATTTCATGATTCCACTGTACCTCAAAATACCCAAAGGAAGAGAGAGAATATCTAGAAGTCAACTGTGACATAGGGTTGATGGTAAGAAATATGGAACTAATGTTATCTCTGCAAAGAGCAACAGTGTTACCTTTGCACAGTTAGCTGCATATATACAAAAATAAAAATATAAACACACTCACTGAATAACATCCTTTAGTATTTATGTTATTTGAAGTCAACATATGCTTTGTTCTACCTGAATGGCAGCCCATTCACTCGTTCAGTTGGTTGAGCTTGAGTGTTTGTTCTTATTTCTGTCTGCTTTTACAGCTCATCCATGACATTCCAGTTTGCAGAAATGGTTACTCTCATATTACCCCATAACAGCGGGTTTAGCTGTGGTTTTCCATGAACAGCACAGTACCAAAAGCACCCAAAAAGAATATTTCCCAGGAGACCCAGGTATGTGTGACCTATCAGAAGCAGTCCCGAAATCATGGACAGTGGTGGTCACAGACACGAAGGTAACAGTTTTGCTGGGGCACAACTTAGTGCAGTCAGTGAGACAATTTACGTGTTTTTGGAAGCTGCCTTGGTTTCTGCACATCACAGGGCCAAGGAAACACACTGCCCACAAAATGTGCACAACAATGTGGGAAACCATGAGTTCAGAATGATATTGCATTCCTCCTTTCTTTTAGCATCTGTGTTTCTGTGTCATAAGGTACTGACAGAATCTTGTAAAATAATTTTGTACAGGTACTTGGGCTGGGTTATTTTTACGTCTGTGTAACTGTGATTGTACAGAAAAATCCTCAAGGTTTCTGTATCAGGGGTTAAACACCTGTTGATAATCAAGCCTCAGACCGTCACAGAGCAGAAAAAATCACAGTAGTCCTGGCAATGTCTTTCTTAGTGGAATAACCTCGGGGCTGCACTGGCGGTACATGAACGGGCCATAAAATCATAATTTTCCAAAGCAAACATGCCAGGAGTTTGGACTTGGTTCCCGGTGCATGCTGTGCAGGGTCCAAGATGTGCTCCCCTCTCACCGAGCAGGTGACACGCAGAGGCCCACAGTGGATGTTGTAACTCAAGACTGCAGCGGTTCAGCCCCTCGCATTAGCACCTTGTCTCCTTTCAGCTGAACTCCAGCGTTGTGATAGCAGCACGAGGCTTTACAGCACTTGGAGAAAAAAAAAAAAAAAAAAAGTATTCATTTTCTTACCAACTCCCCTGATACCAAATTTGGTAAGGTAAGAGCTGGAGGGGTGAAGCAGCGTGCCAGTAAAAGTTTGTTTTCGTCTGCCAAGGAAACTGCTGTTTTCAAGGCAGATTCAATTAAAGGCAATGGATGTTACCTTGAGGAGCCACTTTGTTTACATTTCAAAGGCCCAGTCCTCTTGTTAGACTGATACTGTTTCATGCAGCTCCTTAATGAAAAGCATTTGTTTGGTATTATACCTCAACAGCAAATTAGATTCTCCCAAGACAGTTTGACTATGTGAGAAAGCTTTTGTGACTGCCCAGACTTCGGCAGTGTCATTAAGATAACGACCCTCACATCTGCTCTTTCAAATGTTGTTCTCAGGGAAAAAACCATAAAAATTATTCAGATCTATTACAAACTTTCAGGTTTTAGCACCCCAGGCTGATTCAGATAACTTATTTCCCCCTTCCCCCCAAATTCCTGAACTTGGCTTGAAATAAATTACAGTACTGAACATTTTGATAGTTTTTCTTACCCATTAACTTTAAGCAATGTCCCTTTCAGACTCTCACACTGATTCTAGCGAGGAGCAGTGGCAGCTTTTCTCAGAGGCTTTTGGAAGTGTCCTCACTACACCAAGAAATGAAAATGACGGAAAAGTGACACGAAAATGACTTTAACCATGTTAGATATTTTCCAGCTATTGCTTCTCTTGTATTATCATTTAAAAAAAAAAAAAATAAAATAAAAGTGGCCACTCTCTGCCTCTGCTGAATATTTCCACTACTGACAGCTAGAAATGGAACTAAAAGTCTATCTGTAAGTTACATTCTTTGTGATAAGATCCAGAGACAGCTACAAGAACTCCACCTGTCTTGAGAAGCAAACTCTCCTGTAGTGTAAAATAACTATAAATGGGAGCCAGTGAGGAAGCATTTTAGTACCCATCTCTTTAGTGTCTAGAAAATAACTATAATTTATTTGGTGAGGGATCTGTGCATTGAAAAGTCTTCTGGAGTACATGCCAATCAAAAATCCCTCCAGTTAAATCACTAAAATCTAAAAGCCGTGCTCTCATTTTTATTCCTGGTATGCAATTGCAGTCAAGTTTGGAGTGCTTCCTGAATGAAACATGGAAGATTCATCCCCATACATCAGATATATTTAGAAGAAAACACCGTAATTAAGATTTATTTACATTCACATCTCAAAAGCACTTCAGGATTATTTGTCACATCCAGAAACCGAGCCCATGTGGGTCAGTTGCCAACTTCACCCTCAGTTGCTGGGCTTGCTAAACAAGGTAATTTTCACTTCGCCAAACAAAGCTGGAAACGCTGTACCCTCAACCAGAAGAGCTTGAATGACAAGTGACTCATATTAGGAATTCCTTGTGTTCAATCAGCTACCCTTGATGTGAGATAAAGAGAGTTGATGAAAACAGACAGAACCCAGTTTCAGTCTCCTCTCGGGAGGAGCGAAGACCTTTTTTACATGGGGACAAATTCATTCCTGGTATAAGGCTTTTTACTTCAGTGGAATTATACCAAGGATGAAAACAGGTCATCTTGTTTTGTACTACATGCTTCACATCAGTGATGAAATAAACTGGGTCTCAAAGGAGAGGTGATAAAAAGTCAGCACCCGTGCTTTGTTGTGATTTCTTTAAAACTATAAAACCTTCTAACGCTTAGTTTTTAAAATATATTAGTTTGATTTATCACTGACTTATGCAACGCTCGGTGCAATGGCAACTGAAAGCTTTTCATGGAAAATAAAACACTTTGTGAAATCACCCAGACCCAGCAAAGCCTATGTATCACAGCTCTCACAAAGAAATCAGACATCACCTGTTTTAAGTATCCAACTGGAAGGAGAAAGAAAAACCCAACAAACAAAACCACAAAAAAAAACCCCAACAAAGGCTTCTAATCATTCTTTGTATCTCCCTTTTTGTATGCTTGATTTGTGATGCTTTAATGAATCCTGATTCTCCAAAAAAATGCTGGGTACCTGTTTACTGAGAATTACGCATATCATAGTAGGCATCCAAAGATGTTTATGGGAACATTCAAGGGCCTCAAGCGTAGCTGAATATTTATTTTATGGTTCTATCCTGGTCTGAACTATAGTTTTTGTAACCTGAATATCTCTTTTGTACTATTCTGAATATATTTATAGTACTCCACAGTAATGGTTGCAAATGCTGCAGTCACAGTACCATGCAGAGTCGGCTGTATGGCTTTGATCATCCTATTATTTGGGTTATTTTACGACAGTTTTAAATGGCTGAGAACTGCACAGAGATGGCTCAATTGTATCATTAACCATGAACAGCAAGTCCATGTTAACAATCCCTAACTACCCCTGAACAATGTAAACAGGAAGCCTGGTGCTGGAAATTCATTTTGATGATTTCCACTGTTCTTGCAGATAATGTTTCAGTGATCCAGGTCACAAAGAGAGTACCAAATTAAAAAAAAAAAGTCTTTGCAAAGTGCCAGCTCGGAGTTTAACTGTTGCTGGACTGAAAGAATGGCATATTTCAGCAGTTCTTACAGAGATTTTATGTCACAATCTGCAACAGAACTTCGTGAAAATTGTCATGGCATTTTAATTTAGTTATTGCAGAATAAACTCCCCAGTGATATTTCTGGCATAATGTGCAAACACAAATAAATAATCAAAAAAAAACTTCAAAATTGTCAGTACTTCCTTGCATATGGTTATAAGCATAAAAATCTTGGTTCTATATTTTCATGACTTCAGATTGAAGTGTCTGTGTGACTGAAATGATGCCACGAGATTCCTCTCCACTACCCAGTTTATGCAGCAGACTCCCTAAACTCTTTTATAATAAGGATATTCTGGAAAAAAAAATTAGGAGAATCTAAATCTCAGATTCTGACTCTATATGCAGTATTGTAAAATGCTGTGTGTTGGCAGCTTTGGGGTTTCTTTCTTTCTTTCTTTCTTTCTTTCTTTGCCATTTTGGTTTATCCCAAAAACCTTCCCGAGAAGTTCCTGAGAACAAACCTATTTAAAGTGATCTTCTGAAACTCCCACAACATCATCAAAGACCAAGCATTTCTACTTGGTCAAGAAATATTTGAAACCCAGGGCAGAAGGGTACAAATTTAAAGCTGCAGATTCCACCCAGTGCATTTTGTGGCATTTGGAAGGGAGCAAGGACACAGCTCGTACTGATGACAGCAAGGAAGATGTCACTGCAGAACTAACTGCAAGGAAAAAAAAATGAACCTTGCAATCCAATAATCCCTCTGAAAAGGAAACATATTTTCAATACACTGTCCAACATTGCATTGAATTATTTGGAAATTGGTCTTCAAATACATATCAACGTTATTATTTAAGGATATCTTTGCATTCTTCTACGTTTAGTGAAGTTTCCAGGCTCTTAGAAGACAAGAAGGAATCAGCATCAATATCCAAAGCAGCAGCAGAAGAGCTTTGAGCAGTGCCCCAGCCCTCAGCTCAGTGAGATACACACAGATCCACCTCCACAGACTGTGTTGGAGCTTCTGCCATCACATGAGACATCAATTCCCTGCTGCTGGTATGTCTTCTGATTACCTGACTTTGGATAGGGCTTTAGGGACCTAAAGGAACTAAGAAAACCAATTTTCCACCGTATGTCCCAGCCTGTTTGATATAGAGAAAAAATCGTGTCAATAATTGTATTGGACTTGACAAAAGCAACCTCTATATAAACAACAGAACAAATCAAATGGAAACACAGTACCCTGAACAAATGTTTTCAGTACTAGAAAGTGTAAGGTGAGCAAATTGCTGCCCTAAGGACAAGGTGAAAATCCCTAGCCCCCCCCTTTCCAAAGCAAACAAATAGCAGTGAAATGTAATTTGATGCTCGTTTCCACCGAGGGAAAACATTTTGTCAGCCACCTTTTTTTTTTATTTATTTATTTTATTTTTCTTCTTTTTCTTTTTTTTTTTTTTTTTGGGTTGCCTCAACGTTGTGTTCTTGCAATTTGATCCTCACAAGCCCTCGCAGTAACTCCCCTAATGACTCCCGGGGGAAGGCGTTTCATCAGCACGTGTGCTAACGAGGCTGACTGATGCACTGCCCTTCAGTGCTCACCTTGCTCCAAGACCCTCAAACAACTCAATAAATACCGAGTTAGATACATTTTACTGCCTTTTTTTTTTTTTTTTTGGCCACCTATGGATCAAACGGGATGTTTTTCAAAAGCATCCAGTTCCAAAACCGGCAAAACGTTCAGCCTTTAAGGACCCTGCAGGTTTTCAGTGAGTGAAGATGTTTCTCCCCAGATAACTCGTATTTTAAAGCGTCAGAACCTGAGGGCTTTTAAAACAACTGTACACAACTGATTCCTTGGAAATCACGCACAAATCAATAATGCAACTAGAACTAGAATCCAGGAATTTTAAAACTTACTAACAGGTTAGTAGTGACCAGCTGGGACAGCCTGCAAATTTGTGTGTTGAGGACTGACTCTGATATGGATTTATTAAGTGGGCTTACAAACCCAGCAGAGCACCACCAAAGTCATAGCTGGGGTTGTTTTTGGTTTTTTTTTGCTTTGATGAAGAAACTATTTCACTTTGATTTCAGAGTTTCTTTATAGCTTTTGAGTGACAGGCAGCCCTTTACATTATTAATAAATGTTTTGAATTTAAAGTCTTTAAACTAAAAAGTT